TCCACGCTGTCTTGTGGTTGTTGTAATAATAAACCATAATTATATTAGCTAATTTTGGGCCGCCTTTTCGCATATTGGATTACAAACAAGACCGAACAACTGATCAAGTGGTTGGGCCTTCTAAAACCAAAGAGACACACACATGCAGACAATTGGCCATAAATCAGCAGGTAACAAATGCTTAGAGGGGGCGCGGAGTAGGGGGATGTCTACTTCATTGCATTGCAGTTATTGTTGTCGTTATAATCAATGAATTACGTCGCATCGGCTGCATCGGTTGACCACAATTTATGGCGATGCCAAACATGAGAATCCGAAATGCGAAGCACAAAAACTGCAACTGCAACTGCAACAGCAGCAGCAGCAGCAGCAGTAGCAGTAGCAGCAGTAGCGACACGAATGGGGCAGCTAGAAGATAAGCGAGGGGGGGCTGGCAGCCAGAAGGGGAGTGGCTGTAACGAGCAGTCGCCTGGCTTTTATGTTGCAATCCGGAGCGCATGCAACAAAGCGCCCAAGTCGCATGCCAACTCACACAGCCAAAGCAACCACCACAACCACCAAGCACCACCGACTCTGCCCCCTGCCCCTTGCCCCATGCCCGCTGCTGCAGGCATCTCTCAATTGTAACTCGCATCTGTTGGGTTCGTTGTCTGACAGAATCGTAACGTTTGTCGCTGTTGCCGTTGTTGTGGGCAGCTGCACTGGTTGCTTGGCTTGACTTGGTTTGGTTTTTGGCTTGGTTCCATCTGGTCGAACATAGAAAACGACACATATTGCAAAAGTAAAAGTTGACCATTTAGTCCAGTTGCGCCTTTAAAGTGCACGCCATCAGTCTGAATACACTTGCAAAACGCAACAAAAAATATAAATTCATTTAATTTAAATATAGGAACCAAAACTAGCTGAGCCATAACTAAATAAAGCAAACGTTTAGCTATGCAAAATGCAACAATAAATTAAATTAATTTAACAAAAATATAGGAACAAGGACTAGAACTAGCTGAGCCAGAACTAAATGAACCAGACGTTGAGAAATGCATAACAACTATATAAATTCATTTAGTTTGAATGGAACCAGAAGCTCAAGTGAATCACTAAATGAACGAGACAAAATGCAAAATGGAACAATTTAAATGAATTAAATATAAATATAGGAACCAGAACTCAATAAAACAAAACATTGAAGTATGCCAAATAAAACAATAATATAAATTAATTTAACTAAAATGTAGGAACAAGAACTAAGACTAGCTGAGCCAGAACTGAATAAACCAAACGTTGAGAGAAGCAAAATGTACCAACTATATAAATTTATTTAGTTTGAATGGAACCAGAACCACATGAGACACAACTAATTGAACGAGACAAAATGCAAAGTGGAACAATTTAAATGAACTAAATCTAAATATAGGAACCAGAACTAAAAAAAAAAAACAAAAATTGAAGTATGCAAAATAAAACAATAATATAAATTAATTTATAGAAACCAGAAATAAATGAACCAAAAAATAATATGAATTCGATTAATGTAAATATAGGATCCCAAAGTAGCTGAGCCAGAATTAAATGAACCAGAATAATACTAATTCATTAAATTTAAATATAGGAACCAGAACCAGAACTTAATAAGCCAGACAATAGTATAAATGCAACAATGGCATAAATTCATTTAATTTACAAGGAACCAGAACTAGTTTAGCCAGAACTAAATGAACTAGACGCTTAGATATGGAAAATACAAAGATAATATAATTTTATTTATTTTAGATTAAGCCAGAACTAGCTAAACCAGAATCAAATGAACCAGACGTTGACAAAGGCAAACATGAAATAAAAAATATTGCTACTCAACTTGCAGTTTAGTCTTAAGTACTCAATGAATTAGATCAAAGTGAAATAGTGCTGGTTTTACTGTACTGTTCTATTTAATTGAATGAACTGACGGCACATTTACTTGAAAAAAAAACGAAAACTAAGTGAACTTAAACTCGTTCAACTAGAAATAGAACCATATTAACGAACAATAATTACTTATATGACCATAAGTAACCATAACTATACTATTTCAATTATAAATGCATTATTTTCAATAAGGAAGTAGTCGTAAATTGGAATCTATTTATATCGTGTTGGGCTTACAGAGTTAGTTCATGCAACGAACCAGTTGATTGACTCAACTTATATCAACTAAAAATAAACTGATATGACCTAAAACTACATTAGGAATAAGAACTACAGGTTAGTCTTATTACAATTAAAAAGCAATCAAATGCTTTGATTTAGTTATCGCTTATAAGCAGCGGAATGGAATTTTTGTAGTATCATCAAGTTCTGTAAAGTTGTTATCAGAATAAATTGACATTTTAGTAGCCCAAACTAGGAAACACTTTAGGGCAAAACACGTTATTTAAATTAATTATCGAAATTCTACTTCCGATGTTCTCTTTACCGAACTAACTGAGCTGATGTTTATTCAAGGAGCTCCCATTGTTTTGTTAAAAAATAAAACAATAAATATTGAAATTATTACAAATGAAACAAAAAGATTCAAGTTCTTGGCATATCAGAAACCTTAAAGCAAACCTTTTGGCTGACTTGCTTTAAAGTTGTATCCATTAATTACAAATCAGATCAGATACAACTTGATTCCATTCATTTCATATTCAAACTGTGAACATCTTCCATTTAAAATTATAGCAGTCTGCTTTTTGGAAAGTTGTTTAATACGCCCCAACAAGGTCGCTACGAAAAATAAAAAATAAATATATCTATATCTATAAATTCTTATTGTTTTTCCAGTTAGAAGTCCACTAATAGAATCTTCTTTCAGCCAGACAATAGAAAATGCAAATCTATGTTTATATGCGCAATATTCATACTATATAAATTCCGATATTCCAACAGGTTTACTTGTTTATTTTTTGTTGTTGTTTAATTTTTATTGCGTCAAGCGTTGGAGAAATAATTATGCCAGCAATTGCCAAATCGCAGCTATGCATCTCTGATATATAATCTCATTTGTGCGACCCATAAAGGCCTTTCACTTTTTGCCGCACGCATTGCACACGATGCGGCACCACCCGCCACCCACCACCCACTGCTGGCAACTCCCTCTTTGCCGACTCAACCGCCAATCAGCCGCTGTGGCAGCCTCAGCAGTTACTTACGCCTGTCTGCCTGACATCCAGATACGCTTGCCGCATTGCAGCATTGCAACATTGTGATTCAAATTAGAAACACGATCTCTCCCTCTTTCTTGGCTGCTTGCCACATGATTATGTGTTGCTGCTGCAGTTGCAGCAGTTGCAATTGCCACATACCACAACTTACAAGACTTCCCCAAAAGTGCGTGCCCTATCAAACATCACAGCTAACACACCGACACCGCCCGCCCGCCCTTATCACATAGCCAGCAAAAATGTCAAATGTCTGCAGCTTCCGCTTCCAGTTAGCCCATGAGGAAAAGCTTAAAGCGCGTTGAGCTACACTTGCAGAAAATACTAGTGAGAACCTTCGCTGAATATTCGAAATGTATTCTCTAGTATTGTTCCATTGGGAATTATCATTAAAGGATTGTATAGCCCATTTTATTATCAATATTTATACACAATTTAATTATATATATAACATACCCTAACTTAAGCTAAAATTAAAATTTTAGCTATATATCTTCTTTTACATTTCCCTGTTTGTGAAAAGTTCAGACTTTAAAGTACACTTTAAAGATCTTTAATAAGAGTTCATTAATGTAGGCTAATTTTCACAGAAGCAGAAAAATGAATAACTTAAGAAACTGACATTTTTATTTATAGAAAACCGATCTTAACATGCCAAAACATTAAAATCTCATAAAAAGAAATTTTATTTAAAATTTATGGAACAATTTTACAGGAGCCTGACCATGAAGATCCGAATGAAAAAAAGAGATTTCCACATATTTGTTAATTTGATATTACATCGAAAATTAATAATATATTTACTCAAATAAAGCAAATAAAAGTTTTTTAAGTGAAATATCTATATTTAAGTCCAAAGACACGAGTTCCCCATAATATTTCTATATATTCGATAGGTAATTTATTTCAGTGCAAGGTAAAACATGCTGATAAAGTCATAATAAAGTGTAAATTTATCGCATCCACTGTTTCCAATATCAATTTAAGATGAGAAATGTGGGAAATGGCCAGAAATTGATAAACAAAAATTGCATAAATTAGTGGTTCATTTAAATCATTTGAATCTGAGGAAAAGAATTAATACGAGAAACATCTCTTAAAATAATTTATAAGAATCAACTGATTTAATATAATTTATATAATTCTCTAAATATAATACAAGATTGTAGCAATAAATCTGCTCAAATTCTTTTTAAATAAAGAAAAAACAAAATGAGTTTATATGCCAAATTTTTTTTGGGTTTTTACCAACTCGAGTGCAGGCGCAAAGCAGGTTTGCAGCCAAAAAAAAAACATAGCAAAAAACCCATAAGAAGCTCACATAAAAACTGTTCAGAACCAAACCATTGACATTTCTTATTGGTATTTTTTTTGTTTTTTGTTTATTGGCAGCAAGTAAAAGGCAGGCGGATAAAAAAAATACTAAATGAAATAAACTAATAAATAAGGAATTTCTTTGGAATTCCCCAGAATATATTATTTTGCTGGACGCAAAAGTAATTAATGCTTGACGCAGACGCTTTTTTAATGACTCGCAAGTTGATCAATTTTGAAAAATCTCGAAATTTTAGCCAATCGCCAAACCAAGACAAGCGCATTTGCATTGGTATTAGTGCGGCGCGTCTGTATTAGTGGGCGCTTCCGCTGCAAACTTTCCGAGCGCAACGCACACAAATGCACAAAGCTCACCAATACCAAGGCAGCACAGCTGGCGCGAGCTTTTGTTGCTTAAAAGAGAGCACCAAGCGTCTCTCACTTGGGTTAAAAAAAAGCTCTTTTTTACGACGGACTTGGCGCTGGGAGCTTGACGGCGTTTTCAGTTTCGTTTTGACACAAAAACTCTTTGGGGGTATAAAAGTGCGCCACTGACCACAGACAGCATCCAGTCAAAGGTTTGGAATCGTGTGTGATTCTACAAATCCTTACAACATCATTTTCTGCGTTGCTCGTAAGTGTTGGCAAACGAACAAAGTTTTTTTTTTTTAATTGTCGTGTAAAATGTTTAAGTTAAACGAAATCAACAACAATTTTTAAGTTTTTCAAAACAATATTTGGAATTGTGTTTAAGTAAAAAAAACATATTTAAAAAATATAAAAATAATTTTTTAAGTAAACAGTGTTTAGTTTTTATTTTCTTATATAAAAATGTAAAATATTAATATGCGCAAAATTTTCTATTATTTATTTACAGCCTTGGCAATTCCCAACAGACTTCACAATGAAAGTATTCGTAAGTAAACAATAACAATATCATATTTTCTATTAATTATGTGCAAATAATGTGGCTCTGGGTTATATAAAAAAAAGGAATTAATTAGTTATTGATTTAAGTGTGTGAGAAATTTGGCATTGTTTATGATTAGATATAAATAAACAACTATTGAAGTCAACTCCCACATAGATTAAGTGCTTACAAATCATTATATTCATGCAATTTATGAGCAGCTCGTCTTTATGGGTGCTTGACCGCCCCGTTCACTTCCTGTCCACAAATTGCATAATGCTCATATGTTGGCCAACATGAATGAAAATCATTCAAACACAAATGACAAACTTCAACTTGAATCAATGCAAGATTGCTAATCGGCGACTCTCCATAAAATGATAAATGCACATCAATTTAATTGCCAGACACATTTTGCTGTACACTGTAATCAAAATTATGAACACACAAGCTAACGGTAAATACACTGCCCTACAAAGTCGCGAATGCGCATGCGTGACGTATGTTGCCCCCGGTCGCATTTTGTCATGTCTGCGGGCGTGTGGGCGTGTGTGCGTCGGGGGCGGGCTTGGCTGTGCATCGCATTACGCATGCGCCGCACGCACGCGTTTCACTTGACCATTTGAAAGCGAAATGTTGTCGCCTCAATTTGTGGCCAAATGGGCGTCATATATGCATAGCATAACTTTCTAATCTGATTACCTAATTCAATTGCCGCTCATTGCATAACTTATTAAGTTGGCTGCTAGAACAAGTTGCGAATTACAAATGAATTTGGATTGCTTTTTAATTTGTCCATATTGTTCTACCCTAGTTCTGCCTAGCCGCTTTGCTGGTGGCTACCGCTTGCGCTTCCGATGAGGTGCCATTGGAGAAGAAACTGGACAAACGCGGTCTGCTCGATCTGGGCTACGGCTATGGCCATGCTGGTCTGGATGTTGGCCACATCGGTCACGGCTCCCTTGGTCATGGCGCCAGCTATGGCCTGAGCTCCTATGGACACTCTGCACCCGCCGCCATTGCCGTTGGACACAGCGGTGGTGGCATCTCTTATGGACACAGCGGTGGTGGCATCTCTTATGGACACAGTGGTGGTGGTGGCATCTCTTATGGCGCACCAGCCGTTGCCGTACAAGCCCATGCCGTGCCCGCTCCCTATGTGATCAGCAAACAGGCTGAGCTGCACAAGACCATCTACGTGACCAAGGGTGTGCCCGTGCCCGTGCATGTTGACCGTCCCTATCCAGTTGTGCATGAGAAGCGTGTGCCCGTTGAGGTTAGAGTGCCCGTGCCACAGCCCTACGAAGTCATCAAGAAGGTTGCCGTGCCCGTCAAGGAGTACGTGAAGGTGCCCGTACCAGTGCCACAGCCCTACGAAGTTATCCGTCACGAGAAGGTGCCCATCCATGTGCCCGTCGATCGTCCAGTGCCCGTTGAGGTGCCCAAGCCCTACCCCGTGCCCGTCGAGAAGCCATATCCCGTCTACGTGGAGAAGATCCAGAAGGTGCCCGTGCATGTGCCAGTCGATCGCCCATACCCCGTCTACGTGAAGGTGCCCCATGTCTCGCACTCCGTTGTGAAGCACGCCCCCACCTATGCCGTCAGCAAATTCCCCATCACCGGCTACCCAATCAGCGGTGCGGGTCATGATGCCAGCGTGTACGCCGATCATTCTGGCTACCACAAGTAGAGCGGTTGCGGAATCTATTTGGGGCAACGCCAAGGACTTACCAGAATATGAGCCGAATCAAATTTAGCAACATTTTTTTAATTCTGTCCAACAAAAATTAAGAAAAACAAAACACTCTCACACGGTCTCTGCGCTCCCCTACATAATTTCCAAGAGGTTCTAGTAGAACTTCCACCCTGCCACTCTCTGTTAGACCTTAAGTTAAAAAACCACCCCCAGGAAGAACAACAAAAGCCTTTTGTAAATTATTTCCCAAAAACCATCAAATGGAGCATTGTTATGTTTGAAATAATAGCTTAGGATAAAGTCCAGCTAATTGTTTTTAAAAGAATTAACGAATTTTATAAACATTTTAGCTGCTGTTGTTTATCAGTGAAAGGTTTCAACATACAATGAATGAAATATATATATAAAAAAAAATGATGTAAAAATGTTTTAAGAAATAAAATTGTATAAAATAATATAAACGGAGTTTTTCTTAGTTAAATTATTTCCCTTTTCTAGGAAACACATAGGTGTATATTATTACATTCAACAATTTTATAGATACCATATAAATTGTGAATAATAAAATCTTAGATAGGGCTACTTAATAATTCACATTATGTGTGCACATAAATCCAATTATTTGCAAATACAAACATACATATATATGCAGGCTTCCCTTTGCTCCACAGGACATACCCAGAACTTGACCACATTATTATCAACAGGCCTAATTTGAGTACATGAAAATCGCATAGAAGAGCAATACGCATGCTTAAGAGACAAACAATAATTTTTTATTGATTTATACATTATGGCTTGTAAAAAAGCATTCAGACGGACAGACATGGTTATAGCATGACATAACGTAACATAACGTTATTAAGAAAATAAATTTTAACAACTTTTTTAAAAATAAAATTATTTATTTATTTAAAAATTTATTTTTATGTATAATTTTTGCTTGGATTTAGATCAATTTCTAAGTAGTTTCCACTGTGAAAGAGTTAAATATATTGAACAAACAGAAAATAAGTATGTCAAGCTCTTCTTTTCGCCTAACCTGACATTTAAAGCATATTTTAATATTAAAGTGCATTGATTGATAGATCATACACTATGAAACGAATGGCAAATGTCCTCTCACGCTGCCAAGCAGCAAGTGGACAATTTAGAGTGACTTTTTCGAGCTGACCCAGTTTCGGGATGCTTGGCAGACGAGGAACGACATGTCATTGGCATTAAAGGATGATATAGCGAGACGATCCATAAATGATAAGGATCCGCGTGTCACTGCGAATATCTTGATCGCCAGCGCGTAATGCGATTCATCCGACAGGTGCAAGGCCACAGTTCCCGATTTAAGCGCTGTGTCGGGTTCAACAAAAGGTCACGCGAGCAGAAGCGACCGCTCGAAACGCTTGTAAATTTTAATAATAAAAACCAGAGCGAACACTTGTATATGTCATTTATGGCCGGGTTTTTCCTCGCAAAATACCAAAATTTCAACTTTCAAAAGCAACTGCAGCCAGGTTCTAAGAGAGCGAGAGGCAAGCGCACAACTTTTAATTGACCATAAAAAAAAGCTCTAAACAAAAAATAAAATATAATATAAACAATAAATTGTTTGTTTGAATTTGATGAATTGAATCGTTTAAAACAATTTGGGGCTATTTTGCATTTTCCACTTGGGTTTTTCAAACACACAGACTTAAAGAAGATGGAACAGAGATCTTTAAGATATCCCGGATTGAATCCGGTTTAATTTTAATGGGCGGCATGAAAACAAAAAAAGGCGCCTTGTAAATGCGCTGAACATATATCAAACATCTATGCGTTGTTTTGGAGCTCATCTAATGTAGGGTCAAAGCCCCCGCAGCCAGCTCTTTGCATATGCTCAAGGACTTTGCTGACGGAACTAAAGCAAAACAACTTTCTAATAAAAAAGTCGACGAGACGATTAAATTTCTGATTTAATTTTCTTTCGTTACGTTTCTTGTTCAACAAAAATACAACAACAGAAAAAGACCTCATTTAGATAGATCGATCAAAGAGCTGCAAGAACCAGTTAGCAGCCACAAGAATTCATATCAGCTGAAGGTCATCGGCTTTACAGCTCGTATATATGGGGGGCGTGGCATTTAACTTTAACTTTGACTGTAGCCTGTTTGCGGTTGCACTTCTAAGCACCTAAGATTATTTGTGGGTATTATTTGTACATACAATATATTTTCCTACCATCATTTGTTACACGCTCTTGAGCTGCTGTCTCGTAGGTGTTTCCACTTGGAATTGGATTTGTATTTGTCTATGCTTTTGGTTTGCGCAATTGCTATGCAATTACCAAGCGGATCTTTTAATAAAACTTAATTGCACTAAAATAATTTTGTAGGGTTTAATTATAACAAATTAAATAGCACAAGAATGCAGCACAGTGTCATTAAATATGATTAAGAAACTGCACTAGACACAAAATACTTTAAAGACCGAGACAGTAATTTAATCGAAGTGGGTTAGTTTGTGCATAGACCACAATTCTGTTCGTTGTTGCCAGACTTTGAAGGTCTTTAGAATTCCTTGAAGCTTTGTGGGGTTTGAGGAGATCTCAGAACTAAGATAAGAGCACTTTCCAGTAGTATCTTCTAGAGATTACATGTAAAACAAAAACTAATGTTTCGAAGTTCTCCTTCCTATCAATAGAGAAATACCCATAATCTATACGCACTTCCAATGAGTATAAAGAAGTTATTTTAATTATCTGCATATGGTAATACAAATACCAGTAGTGTTCTTTTGTTTTTAAAGTTCCCTTATGAGTACTTTCCATTAATAGAGGAATATGCATTTTCTAAAATATATTTACAATGAGTATTTATAAATATTAATTTATCCTTAATATGAAAACCATTACTTATCTCCCTGTGGTAATACAAATACATAAAGTATTATGAGTAAAGAGTGCATTCAAATACGATTAGTCAACTTTAGATTATCTCCCTATTATGAAATAAATACATAAGGAGTAATATGAGTATTCAGTTGTTTCAAGGACGAGTACTTTCGAGTATCGACCTATTTGAACAAAGAAAATCCAACTACCCGCCGTAATACATACATTAATGAGTCTTATGAATATTTAGTTGTCTTAAATACAAGTACTTTCGAGTATTGGTCAATTAATCAGCTTAACATCATTGAAGCACATAAATTGCTTGTAAACCCAACATTAATCAATTGCCAAAATTACACTGGCAGACGCACATAGGAACTGTGCCTGATTTCTCTGCATGGATGGATTATGGCATTTACGCAATGATATTGTTCGATAAGGCCACCCGAAAGACAAGCAACAAATTGCGGCAATCGGTGGCCGCCAAGTTGAAGTTTTGCGGGGCAATTAAAGCAATAATTTTGCCATAAATTGGAGGGGCGTGGGAGTTGGAGGCAGGGTAGGACGTACGCATATTTGTTGGAAATTAATTAATTGCCACAAAATGACAGAGACGACGACGACAACAACAAGGCAAATGAAAAACTCGAAATGTAATTTTTCGCAATTTAAGTTGTGTTTTTTTTTTCTTTCGGTCTTTTGATATTGTTTTTTTTTTGTATTTTGCTTTGTTTTGTGTCTTGTCTGAGAAAAAGCTCGGAAAGACGTTGCACATTTTGCAAGCGCGACTTTTGCTCTAATGAGCGCTGATCTAGACAGCGGCTTTTGGAGGTCATCCGTCGCCGTCGCCATCGCCAAGCTGTCCATCCAATTGAAGCAAAATGTGTTAGTTGTTGTTTATTCAATTTTTTTTTGTTTTTTTTTTTCAAATATTGCGAAATGCGTTTGGCTACGTTTTTGGCCAAAAAATGCAACGACAAATGCAGCGTCAGTTGGCAGCCAAACAGACCAAAGCTACAAGTTGCACCAGTTTCCACTAAAGAAAAAAAACCAAAAAAAAAAAGCATTAAAAAACAAAAACTCGAATTGTAATCGAAGTCAGCCTCCGCAAAAGCGTTTGCTGCAATTCCGTTGCCCACCTCCAAGTCAAGTGAAGCAGCAAGCAGGGGCAGCAGCAACTGTGGCAATCTGGAAATCCCTGCTTAGCGCCTCCCTAGCCCCCTCTCTTAGCAACATGTGTGTAGCGTCTTTGGGATTCTTTGCTTGCCCTGCATTTGGCTTTCTGCTTCGCTTGGCCAGCAACCAGCGCTGTTAACTGGGTTTTTTTCATATGGACGTAGTTGTTTTTTTCTTTAACATTTTTTATGGAGCAATTGAAGTCATTGACATGACAAAATGCCAAAAGAGTTGAACTCTGAAGAGCTTATAAAATTCATATTATTATTTTACTACGTAGTCATTGAAAAGAAATATTGCAGTTTTTTTCAATTGTGCCCCCTTAGATATTAGAGTTAAAATGGGAAAAAGCCTAATTGTATTTGAAGAGTCTTACATTTTGAATACACTGATAAAGTAAAGAGCATGTGCTTTTAGACAGAACACAGAACATGGTTAGGACAATTGCTGAAGAAGAGTATTGCCAAGTCTGTCAGCCTTGGGTAGAACAGGAGTTTAAACATTTTTCAGACTATATATGAAATGTATTAATATATTCCCTATTATACAATTAATATTATTAGATTAATATAAATCCTGTTGTTCTCTTTACAGCATGAAGTTTTGCTGCTATCTGCAATATCTTATATTATATTATATAGTTATTCAATTATAAATTATATCAAATAATATTAGTATTTATTTATTTTTTTTAATATATTAATCACACAACCTGTGATAAACGAGTATTAAAATATATTGCATTTATAAAATAAATACTATTACAAAAAGTATATGCACATTGTTCTCTTTACCGAATAAAGTATAACTTTATATAATATTTAGACATTCTTTCTAAATATGGTATTGTGTTTGTTTTCTATAGTATATATAGTATTATAGTATAGCTATCATATTTATAATTTAAGTACATAGATATTATTCGTTATCTTTTGCTAACGTCCAATTAAATTTGCCATTGCCGTTTTTTTCCTTTATGCCAATTTGATGGTTAATTTTTAGTGTGTGACCTCTTAGCGGCCATCAAAATCACGCACGGCTACCGGAATTATGCGCAACTATCGGCCATTGAGCGTGGCACATCAAAGCGTTCATTTCTCATCGCATGCATTCAAATTGCAACAATTAAATTAGCCATAAAAGCTGCCGCATCGCCTCACAGCTTGACTATTATGCAACAGTGCTGGCCATTTCGGCCGCTTTGTTAGCCTGGCATTTTTTCGCCAGCTGATCCCGCTGTG